ATGAGCAAGATGCTCCCCCATAACATGGAAATTACCCAGCCCAAAATGCCAACAGTCCTGAGGTTGAGAAACTGCTGTAGAACTACTCTGTCTAGGTTTCAAATTACTTAGTCTGTGTAGCCTCTGGCAAGTTATTTAACATCTTTTGGTTTACTGAGTGTCCTCACCAATACAATTATAGTACTGTACCCACCTTATTGATTTGTTATATAAATCAATTATACAAGAGTTAAGGGTTTGAGGAGATAGCTCAGTGGCTTAAGTGCCTGCCTGGCAAGTGCAAGGTACTGAGTTCAATCCCCGGTATCCCCCCAACAAAAAAAAAGGAGTTAAGAATATTTGAAATCTCAGTAGTCTAGGTACTGAAACAGGAAGCCTGCAAGTTCAAGCCCAGCCTAAGCCATTTAGCAACTTACTACAGACACTGCTTGAAATAAAAAAACTTTAAAAGGCTGGGGTTGTAGCTTTGTGCAAAGGTTCTGAGTTCAATGCCCAGTAACACCAAAGACAAAACAAAACAATCCATAACAAGGCAAGAATTCTCCAAACGTTTGCTTCTGTTACATGTGATGTAAAAGACTGACAAGAAATACACCACAATTTTAACAGTGGTCAGTTCTAGTAGCAAGATAATGACAGATTTTTCTCATTATACTTTTTACTCCTCTACATTTTCAGAAATTATATATATATATATATATATATATATATATATATTTGACTTTGGGCAGGTTAGTCGCTGACCTTTAGACTCCTTATCAGAAATCAGGCTAATAATTCACATCACGGACAGTTGCTACAAGGGTTAGACATGACAGATACCCAGTGTGTGGGACAGTTTTCTGAAGGAACAGCACCAGAAGATGACTGCTCTAAGGGTTTGAGCAAGGGAAAATGATTCTACAAATCAGGAGATATATGATGGTTACTTCCCTTTTGCTTTTTAAACTTTCCTCACGAAGACAACTCTCCCTTCATTCCATTTTTGCGCAGCTCACTGAGAAGACACTGTACCCCTACTCTGGTCCTTCTCTACTCCTTCCCTTTCCTACACACACCCTAGGAAGGGACTGGAGCATTCCACTGGCAGGACCTACCTCATCTGCCAGGGTGTAGCAGGGGTCACCTGGCTGCCTCTGAAAAGCAGGAGCCAGCCTTCACTGTCACATCCTTCACCCAGATTTAATGTCCTCCTCATCTCCTTTTCCACTCCTGGTCTCTAAGTCAAGGGCCTCTCAAGGAAAAGCTTGGCCTCATTCTCTGTGTTTGGCTGGTTAAGCGGGTTGCCCCTTTTTATGTTCAAGAGTGATGAATAGGAAGGACAGGTAGCCCTCCTATGTACACTAACCCTGCTTACCCAAGAACCCCTGCGTGTGCGCAGTGGGCTTGCCCACACATGCCCAGCTGCTCTGTGCTTTCAGCATGGTGCAATTCCTTTGTGCAGTAAACCCAGCAGGTAGCACTGAAACTAAGAAGAAATGATCACACTGTACCCACAATCCCCATCTTCCTGCCCTTAATTGAACAACAACAACAAAAAAAAAAAGCAGAATGAATGCTATTCCATGTATATTATCAGGAGTGTGATTATTTTAACCTTATCAGCTTGCTAATTCAAATTTAAATTATAAACACTTTTTTTAAATGTCCTAAGACAACAACTCCCAGTGAAGTCCTAAGCTGCCATGGTTTGGCAACACAGGTTAAGATCGTGGGCCGTGAGGAAAGAGTCTTGCAGCTCTGCTGTGAGTTCCCCATATAAAGTTCTACGGACTGGAGCCAGAGTGGATTGCGAGGACTTACAGGGCAGGAATTTCACAACATGCACTCTCAGCCCAAGGTGAACTGCATCAATGCTGGGAAATTTTGCCAGGTAAAACAAGAGGAAAATGAGATTACTGGGCATGTGTCCCTCTACATATAAATAAAAGTTCTAAGTGTGACTAAAACTTCAGGGAGGCCAGGTACAGTGGTACACAGCTGAGATCCCAGCTACAAAAGGAACTCAAACAAGTTGATCAGTCTGGGCAACTTAGGGAGGCTGTCAAAATAAAATTGTGATAAGGCCTGGGGCTACAGCTCAACATTACAGCATTTGCCTAGCATGTGTGAGGCTCTGGTCTGGACCCAATGCCTAGCAATGCGGGGGGGGGGGGGGGCCTCAGGAAGATCAGTGATTTCCAGTCAAGGATGTAGAGACCGCACAGGCCAGCTAGCTCAGCGGACTAAAGCGCCTGCTTAGGCAGGGTGCAGTGGCAGGGGTTCAATCTCGGCGGCGTGCATGCTGGCCCTGCTCCTGGGGCATGCCGAGAAGGTGATTGAGACAGGGAGCACCTGCAATCCCAGCACTTAGGAGGCTGAAAACAGGAGGATCACTAGGAGTCCGATCTATGTAGTGAGACCCTATAGACCCTGTACTAATTACATTAAAAAAAAAAAAAATTATGGGACCACATAATATGTAATCCTCAAGCATAATTTGGACTCTTGTCAAGTTCTTACTGTAATGTGCCTCTTTACTATCCCATAAACCCCAAACTGGCTGCAGCAGAAGCTGTCAGAGTCCTTAGTCTTCCTATTCTGCATTCACAAATGTATAATAAGAGCTTACCACAGACAAGGCCACTCTTCAGATGATTTTAATAATGGAAATTGTTACTTGCCCAGGAAAATGTATATTTCAGCAAAGTCTTAAGCTAAAAGGCCAAAGTTCAATATTATAGGATACAAAATTATTCTCCAAAGTACATGGCAATGAAACACTGGAGCAAAAGTCTCATTTAATAAGGAATGTTGCAAATAGGAGGCTCCGGTCCTTTTTTCTTCCTCTGTGTATCTTAGATCTAATAACTTCTTTTAGTTTTCCCATAGCTTAGAACAATGAGATCAGTCGTTTTTTATTATCAAGGCAAGAAAGAAAGCTATATGGATCAAAGGAAGGAAATGTTTTATCTTAGAAATTTTCATTTTACGAACAAATTTCTTTTGCCTTTAAAAACCTAAAATTGGGGCCAGGAGGATGGCTCAATAGAATAAGTGCTTGCCTGGCAAGCGCAAGGGTATGACTTCAATCCCTGGTTCCACCAAAAAAAAAAAAAAAAAACCCTAAAATAATTTGCAGAGAGACCTATCCCCTTATGTTAATGTATGGTATTATTATTTTAAAGCAATAAATCTAGTCAATTTGATATCACAGTTAATATGCATAAACTTAGAAGTTTTAATCTTATTATTTTATTTTGAGAACTGGGTAAGTGCTTTTAAAGACAACACACGGGCTGGTGAGATGGCTCAGTGGTCTAAAGCACCTACTTAGAACAAGCTTAGCAAAGCACAGGGACCATGGTTCAATCCCCCAGCACCACATGCCAGCCAGCCCCGCCCCCTGGTGGGCTGAGCTGGACACACACACACACACACACACACACACACAAATAAATAAATAAAAATAAAATAAAATAAAAAAATAAAGACAACACACTTAGGGCTTGTTACTGGTTTCTGAGGATGGAGGATTTTTTTTTGTCTGCGAATGCCTTCAGGACAGGTTTGGCTGGCTTGAGTTGTGGATCGAACCACAGCAACCTGAGCCTGACTGCTTTGTTGAAGCAGCCACTTAAAGAACTGAGCTAAGGGGCAGGCCCCCTAGTTTCTGAGGATCCAAATGAGTTTGTAGCTTCAATTTTAAAAAAATCAACCATGATGTAATCCAGATTCTTTTTTTTTTCTTCTTAGACATCATTTGGTCACCCTAGTAACACAATGTTTTACTATCAAATATCTATACAGCACAAGGGAAAGAAAAGAGGCAATTACTGGGTTATTTGGGGGTACACAATGTGACTATTGGGATAATTCATGGTTAAATATAGATTTCACTGGAGGCATTTCAGCCAGCCAAGCTGATTCAATCTTCTAGTAGCATGAGCTGAGCAGAATTCATATTCAAATACACTGTTGAAATAATTTGAGGTAGTACAAAGCAGCCTAGCTCAGTGATTAAGATCATGGGCTCTGGGATCAAAATTTTTAGGTCCAAATTCTGGTTTTATCTGCCAGCTGTGTGACTTGGGGAAAATTCCCTTTTTTTCTCTGTGCCTCAGTTTCTTCATGTCTAACATGTGCTGTAATGATTAATGGGTGATTATTTGTGTTCACAATGATGCTTTGCACATAGCAAGAACTTTATAAGTATTTATTACATAAAGGAAATAAAATTTAAATTTGCTAGCTCTTCTCTTTGTTGTAGGTAGAGATAACCAACGATACCAAGATTTGAGTTCACAGCAGATTATTTTACCTTTTAACTTCGGTACATTCCTTTGAGAACTTCCTCTGGGCCTTTTGGTAGCAATTTTGTAAGGTATGAAATTATGTAGCAGTCTACTGGCCTACATCAGAACTGGGGGCACTTGCAAGTGCTCCTGGTATCAGGAACATCAGAAGGAAGATGACAGAACAGCACAAAGAAACAGCATGACAGCCCACTCAGGCCCCCGAAGCCACTGCCAATAACCTCTCGGAACATGGGCACAGAATAAGCAGTTAAAAACATGTGACAGGACTTTATTGTAGTGGCAATAAAATCTAGTTATTTGTTTTTCCAGTAGTAGTATTTTTTCTCTTTCCCAGTATTCAAGGGGAAAAAATTTGTTTCATCAATGATTTGTTTGTTTTATTATCAATTACTATACACAATTTCCATCCAATTTCTTCTCAATAGGCACTTACTCTAAAGAATTATTCATTTTACAGAACTAGTGTTCCTGGACTTGTAACAAATCTAAAGCCCCTAAGGAGCATCTAAGCCAGAACAAAAATCTCCAAAATGCCTGGAGACAGACAGAAAGGGACAGAGAGAGAGAGAGTGGGAAAGAGACAGAGACAGACAGAAAGAGACAGAGAGAGAGACAGAGAAATTCAGACAGAGACAGAGAGAGATGAATTATGACCTCTGAGCCAAATTTCAGCGGTGGCAGCAAGCAATTTCTATCACATACCTTCATCCGGACTTGATTTCAGAGATGGTCTCCTTGGGTCTTCTTGGTCAAGAACGGCCCTCACATAGGACTTTGGAAAATGCCATAAACCACCAGGAAATCTTGGGAACACATTCATATCTGTCCTCGGTCTTCCACTTGGCTCACAGCCTGCTTCCTGGTAGGAAGAAAAAATGACGCTGCGCAGGGCTGACTGCTAACCATCTTCCCTCCCGCCCCCAGCCCCACTCTCTGGGCGCCCCTCCCTTATCCTCTCCAAGGCTCTGGAATGTGTCACATGGGAGATAGATCATGTGGCTCAAGGGGAGAATGTGGCCATCTTCTTTCTCCCTTCCCCCAGGTTTCTTTTCAGGACCAAAGCAAAGCAAATCTCTGACCTGATTGGCTCTGACCAAAAATCTCCATATGAAAAGAGGAAGATTCAACCACCCAAATCTCCAGCCTTTTTAACATCTGATGATTTTATCCTAAGAATTCACAGCTGCTTGGAGTGGGAGGGAAATTATGCCTTCTCCCCAACCCTTATTTTCTTTCACATCAATAGTATCCTGACCTGGCAAGGTGTTCCTTAACCTCTCTCTAGAGCCCCTTAACAGCTTCCCAGCCAATCGAGTTTTCAGCACCACGGACAGCATTATAATCGCTTCAGCGCTTTTTAAATTAAAAGCCATTTGCTTTTCACTTTCAGGTAAATAAAAATATTTCTAAAAAATTTCCCTGGGTTCTTGTGTAAGTATAACTCCCACCATGTATGTATGTTGAATATTTATTTCTCCTACTTTCAACCTACTTATAAACTTTGCTAATAAGCACAAATAATTTTTATGTTTTATTAAACCCAAAACATTATTCCATACCTATATCTTTGTCTCCAACCCACTACTCCCACACTTTAAATACGCTCCATGTTTTTAGGGGGATTTTCATAGCATAGTTCACGATATACTCACACATCTATGCTTATGGAGAAAACCATAGCAACACACAGGAATTCTTGGGTGGAGAGCCTAGATGTCATTAGCCCCATCCTAGGCCTCAGGCAGGATTGAATCAGAGGGAGGATGGAAGCCTGGTTGGAGATGTTTTATGTGGGTCTATCCTGCTTTGCTGACGTCCTGGTTGCCATGGTGCTAGGTAACTGCTGAAGGGGATGATTTCTTTCAAAACCAGTCACCATGGGACCCTGTTCACTAAAGAGGGAAAGGACTGAATTGCTGAGGAGGGTTTTCAATTAACATTTTCAGAACCAAATTTAACAAATGGGCCCCTTCCTTACTGGACTGTTGCTGACCCTAATATTCAAAGGATTTTAGGAACTAGTATGGACACTGAAATGGTAACTCCTCCATCTTCAACTGCTGCTTTCCTTAAAAATCCCTTTATTTTCAACTGAATGAAAATGCCAGGCTCATAGAATGATCACAAAGTACTGAAAAAAATTTTAAAAAGGTATCTCTATTCAAGTTGCCACTTCTGACTTTTGGGAAGTTATTCATCTTAGTCCTAACCACCTTAATTGAGAGACACATTAGAACCTCACCTGACTGTTGACACCAGGAGCAGTTTGTAAATGTTCTAGGATTTTATGAGAGAAATGAGAAATATTTTAAGTGCATGTTATTGAATTATTTTAAATATAAATTTAATTAATAACTGGACAGCATTTGCTTTATTAAAACTCAGAAATTTCAATGAGCTATACCCTTATTTCATAATGCTGGCATTTAGTTAACTGTTTCTGATTATCCAAATATTCTCTGAGAATATCCCATTCTCTGAGAATATTAATGCCAAATATTAATGTTTTGGAAGAGAAATACTGACTTGTAATCAAAGTGAAGGAATATAAATTTTATGACAGGTGGCTTAGAGAAGCTGGTGTATAATTTTAAAAGATAGAGACTCTTTCCTGGTTTAATATCCACAGCTTAAGATGCATTTTCTACTTTTATTTTACAGGAATCAGTCTCACAGAAATTTAACTCTTCAGGGCTGGTGAGATGGCTCAGTGGTCTAAAGCACCTACTTAGAACAGGCTTAGCAAAGCACAGGGACCACAGTTCAATCCCCCAGCACCATATGCCAGCCAGCCCCGCCCCCTGGTGGGCTGAGCTGGCCACACACACACACACACAAATAAATAAATAAAATTAAAAAAAAAAAAAAAAGAAATTTAACTCTTCATTCAGAACATTTGGCATTTTCTGGAAATTCACTAATAAAGAAAGCTGGATGTGTGACTGGAGAAATTCTATGAGTGATCACCTGTTATGGCTGCAACCTGGATGTTCCTCAAAGCCTTCCGTGCAAAGAGGTGGGGCTTCTGGTGATTGGCACATAGAGGTGTTATATTCATTGGGGTGTTAGTCCATTGATAAGATTATAGCTAAGTGGATATTGGGAGGTAAGATCTGGGGGAAGAGGTGCATAATCAGGGGAGTGACCTGGGAGGTGTATCTCCATTCCCCTTCCATTTCTTCTAGGACCTTTCCTAAGCCCTTCTATCATCTCACTGACCTTAAAGGCCTGAAACTTCTAAAGTGTGAGCCCAAGCATCTCCCTAAGTTGTGGCTGTCAGGTACTGTATTACAGAGACAAAAGAGTGACTAAAACACCATCCTCCCAATCTCCCCATTGAAAAATACTGTAATTCTCCTCTTAGAATTAACAATGACTCAAGTGTCATCTCCTCTCTTAGTCAATGACAACAAATGAAGTAACAAATAACATGTGTAAGGTACTCACATACATGACACCACCTTAGTGAAACAGAGAACTTCCAGGAAGGATAGCGGTTATAGTTTGTGTCTAGATGTCCCCTCAAAGCTTCAGGTGGTCATAGGGCTTTTTCAGAGGTGGCTGAATCTAGAGTATGTCATGCTGGGATTAAGTGTGTGATTAGTAAATCAGTTCATTGATTGGTTTGGCATAGCTCTGGTTAGAAATAAGGGTGTGAATGCTACTCTAGGGCAGCTACTGTGCATTCAATAAGGGACACAAAGAGTCTTATGTCTCTCTCTTGTTGCTTCTATTGTCTTCTACTGCCATCAACTGTTGCCTCTCTGCCATATGCCACCATGTCTTGGAGCCAGACAAATATGGACTGAAATTTCTAGGGTTTTTTTTTTTTTTTTTTTTTTTTTGGTGTAACTGGGGATTGAACTCAGGCCCCTGCGCTTGCCAGGGAAGCGCTTATTCCACTGAGCCATCTCCCCAGCCCCCGAAACTTCTACAAACTGTAAGCCAAATAAAATCTTTCCTCCTTTAACTTTGGATGTTGGCTTCACTGCTGGTGGGAATGTAGACTGGTGTAACCATTATGGAAATCAGTGTGGAGACTCCTTAAGAAACTAGGACTGGAAATCCCATTCAAGCCAGCTATCCCCCTACTGGGTAAGCAGGTTGCTTATAGATTATTTACAGCTACAGAAGAAAATGTATTCTCCTTCAATGGAGAGATTGGAAGAGTGATAGCCATCTTAACTAAGTGAGCAAAGTTTGTATCATTAACAATGTTAGGGCCGGGGAGATGGCTCAGTAGAATAAGTGCTTCCCTGGCAAGCGCAAGGGTCTGAGTTCAATCCCCAGTTCAGAAAAAAAACCAAAAAACAATAACAAAAACCCCAATGTTACAATCAGAATTTATGCACCTAAGATGAAGCAATATGACCTATTCAATGTCTCTGATGAAATATCTCTAAGTTTTTTAAATTTTATTTTAGGGAAGGGTCTACAGGGTGTTCAGAGTCTCACTACTGGATCAGACTCATAGTGATCCTCCAGCTTACAGCCTCCCAAGTGCTGAGATTACAGGCATGCGCCACCACGCCCAGTCTCAAGTGCCATCTCAGTGAGCTAATCTGGGAGCAGGGCCGGCACCGCAGGCCTGAGGGTTCGAACCCCTGGCCCCTGCACGTGCTTGCGGGTACTTTAATCCACTGAGCTATTTGGCTGGCTCTCTAAAAGTGTTTAAACTAAATCTAATCAAACTTTTAAGCATAATATCTAGCTTTTTTAAAAAAAAGTGTGTGTGGTAGTGCATGTCTATAATCCCAGCTGAAGGAGGATCACAAGGAAGAAATTCAAGGCCAGCCTGAACTACATAGCCTCATAGAAACCAAAACAAATAAAAAATTAAAAAGTAAAAAACAAACTGGAGGACCGGCACGTGCCCTGTCATCCCAGCTACTGAGAGAGTAAATAAATTTCAGCCCAGACTGGGCAATTTAGGAAGATTTTGTTTAAAAAAAAAGGGCTGGGGGCCAGGGAGATAGCTCAGTGGAATAAATGCTTGTACCACCAAAAAAAAAGGGGGGGCAGCCAGATAGCTCAGCAGACTAAAGTGCCTGCTTAGACTGAGCACCATGGCCCCAGTGTGCCATGCTGGCTATGACACTGCCCCCAGGGCACGCTGAGACTGCAATTGAGACTGGGCATGGTGGCGCACCCCTGTACTCCCAGCACTTGGGATGCTGAAAACAGGAGGATCACTATAAGTCCGATCCTCACTTTATAAGGAGTACTCAAAGCAAGCAAGTGGGAGCCCTGGCCTTAGCTCCCACTTTGGAACCATTGCCCAAGTCCTCATGCTGCATTCCCTGTATTTCCTATGCTATTTGAGCCTAAACCTACAATGGCACAGTCAGAAAGAAACAGAGCAGACAACTAGCCCAAGCCTTTCCTATTCTCTGGGAACATGTATACTCAACAAAGGGCCTAAGGGCTTGCCCAAGCAAGGGCTGGTGACTCCAGAGCAAGGACTAAGGGAAAGCTGAGTCTGAAAGGTGAGATGACCAACACCCCTGGGAGATTTGCCTAATGCCAAAGACAGGTTAGGAATTCAGTACCCGAGAGCTTCAGCATAGGCTGGCAACTTTCCCCAATGATGAAGCAGACAAGGGGTGCCCTCATGCTAGAAATTTGAAGGCATGAGCCAGAATATCTAGTTCCAGAATGAGACCAGGAGGCCCCATCTCCCTCATCAGTACCACGGAATGTGTACATACCCCTACCCCTATCCAAATGGATGTCATCTTCAGACACAGTAGATCTTCTGGGAAGCATATGAAAAGTGCAACATTTTTATCAACAGGAGACTTTATCTAAAGAAACTGAATGAGACAGAACTATATTTGACACTGAATTAGATACTTTGGT